TATAAAGTTGATATAGTATAAATAAAGTACTTGTAAAACCTTTCGCCATGCTGGCGTTCGCCTGGCGAAGCTTCGCCATGCGAACATCTGAGTGAGGGAGGCCTTACTTTTAAACTAAGGCAGGTGTTCGCCAGGCCTGGCGAACGAAGGGATCGCCAGGCGCTAACATCTGGATTCCTGCTAATCTAGCGCTTCGGCGAATGAAAACAAATCGAGAGAAAGCAAAAGGTTTTAAAAGTACGGACCATAAAGTTAACCTTGTTATAGTAATAAAGTGTAGTATAGCATAAAGTATAAAGTTAATTTTGTTATAGTATAAAAGATATTTTCAACTTCTTTGTTATAGCATAAGTTAAAGTTTAACTCCTTTGTTATAGTATAAGTGAGACTATTGCGGAAACAACATTTTTCGTCTTCTCTCGAGGTTAATAATTAAGTTTAGGTTATGTTATGTGCACTGCAAGATGTAATACAATTTGCGCTAGATTTAGCGGGAATGCACGATGTTAGCGCCTGGCGAAGCGTTGGGTTTAAAAGTAAGGCCCTCCCTCACTCAGAGGTTCGCCTGGCGAAGCTTTCGCCAGGCGAACGCCAGCACTGCGAAGGTTTTAAAAGTACGGGCCTTAAAGCCACAGTAAGAATTAAAGCCCACAAATAGATTTTCACTGGTTAGAACACCAGTAAGAGAGAGAGAAAAATAAGGAGAGGCTGGAGATGTGAAAAGAAAAAGATACAGAGAAAGAGGGGGTTGAATAGAGACACTCCCAAATACAGAGTAATTTTGGTGAATAGGACACAATATTGTAAATAAGAGTGAACACACACTGGAAACAAAAAATATTGTCCAAGTTTCTTCTTCAACACTATCATATTTATCGTAATCAAAGAGGGAGAGGTACATACACACAGGTAGTGAGGGAGAGAGATGTAGAATAAGAGAGAGAGGTGGAGTTTGAAGGAGACACAAAGATTATTCATTTTTATTCTGAAAAACAATATATATCAAAATGTTTTTCAACAAGGGAATGCTATAAACTAGTGTACGCACATTTCGTCCTTAAAACAAAAATCACAAAAAAATATTACAGCAACTGCAAAGGAATTAGACATGAATGATATAGAACAAACGATTGTCGCTTGACAATCAACTACACAGGGCTCTTTAACGCTAAGTAGGCCTATCATTATTAATGTTCTTATTGCCAATAAGATACATTACAACCAATATATTCATGAAGTCCATATATACAAACAATCATATTCATCATGAGCAAGACTGAAATAATTTACGAAAGAAAGAACATACTTGTACACATTAACATCCGTAATCATTGTGAACACCGAATCACTGATAATTTTCATGTAGAAATCAAGAAATTACCGTTATTTCTAAGCAACATCAACCACGGCAACATCAATGGCAAGCATCAATGGCAATAATAATGATAGTGATAACATTGATGATAATGATACTGATCGCAATAGTAAAAAATAATAAGATAACGATATTGATAATGGTAATGATAACTGCAATAATGACATATTCTAAACGACGTTAGAAGTAACAACAATGAAGCAAATGCCAACAATGATAAGAATGATGAAAGAAAAATGAAATTGTCTCCCCCGTGAATCGAACCCGGTATTCCCGCTTTAGAGGCGGCTGCGTTACCGTTACACCACAGAGATTAGAGACAAGGAAGAAGAAATAGTTATAGAAAAGATTTTTACTGTTGTTCTTTACGTATATCTTATAATAACTTTGTTTATCTATTTGTTTATTCATCTATTTTCCTCTGTTATTCTATTCCTTCCCCTAAGTTTATATAATGATACTGGAAGCAAGCTTTCTCGGATTATGGCGATAAGCATATGTGACTATTACCACAACTAATGATTGAAATATGACAAGATAACAACGATGATAATATAACAATAAGGAATTATGCAATGGTTTTAGACTATATATCTGCTATTACTTTAACAATAGAAGTAATGACAACAACAATGATATAGAATATTACATACATCATTGATAACAATAACATTGAATGTCTCTCTCTCTCTCTCTCTCTCTCTCTCTCTCTCTCTCTCTTCTCTCTTCTCTCTCTCTCTCTCTCTCTCTCTCTCTCTCTCTCTCTCTCTCTCTCTCTCTCTCTGTCTATCTATCTATCTCTCTTTCTTTATTGTTTCCTTTGGGAATAGATACTGTGTTCCTTTTATTTCCAATATCATTGTGTCCCTTCCAGAATCTGTTTTTGGGAGTGTTTCTCTCTTTCAATCCCTCTCTTTCTCTGCATCTCTTTTTCTTTCCATCCCCCCCCCTCTCTCTCTCCTCACTCTCTCAATCTTTTGCTGATGTTATAACCATATTTTAATCTATTCGTGGGATTTAATTCTTACTGTGTTACATTTGTATGGAGGCAACTTTCATTTGATATGTTTGTTATTTATTTAATTACATCTTCACGGTGTTTATCTGCCATAGTCTTATTTTCCATGCAAGTATTGAAATCATTTTAAGTCAAGGTCAAAAGCAGCCAACGTCAATGGATAAGAGCATGAGAGAGAGAGAGAGGAGAGAGAGAGAGAGAGAGAGAGAGAGAGAGAGAGAGAGAGAGAGAGAGAGAGAGAGAGAGAGAGAGAGAGAGAGAGAGAGAGGAGATTATTGTTATCAATGATGTATGTATATTCTATATCATTGTTGTTTTGATTACTTCTATTGTTAAAGTAAAACAGATATATAGTCTTAATCCATTACAAAATACTTATCATTATATTATTATCGCTGTTACTTTTGTCTTATCAGAATCTTTATCATTATCAACTTACAGATTTCTTTGTCGTTATCAAAATCATCACCATCGCTATATTTTTTTATCATTAATTGCAGTATTAGTGGCATTTGTTTATCGCCATAACAGTCATTGTCATTATCAAAAACACTTGGGGGAAATAACCTAATCCGAGAAAGGCTGCTTCCAGTATCATCATTATGCAAACTTACGGGAAGGAATAGACTAACAGAGGAAAAGAGAAGAATGAACAAAGAAACAAACAAACTTCAAGATATATAAACAACCCTCACCTCCAAAAAAATCCTTCTGCAGCTAATTATTTCTTCTCCGCTCTCTCTCTCTTATGTCTCTGTGGTGTAACGTTAACGCATTCTAAAATCTTTGCTGGATTTTCTTTTATTATATTTCATAACTGTAGTTATCATGATCAATCCTCTTCTTGTTATTACTATCATAGTTATTATCAACATTATCCTTTTCTTATCGGTAACAAAATCATTATCATTGTTATATTATTCTTTATCATTGGTGGCGTTTGTTCATTGTTCCTAATTTAATCATCATTTTTTAAAATATGTCATTATTGCAGTTATCATTACTGTTATTATTTTCATTATTTATATATTTTAACTATTACCATCATTATTATCATTGTCAAAATTATTACTATCATCATTATGATTTTTCGTTGATAATGAAAATAATTTGTTATTGTCATTACCATCATGATTGTTACGTAAATTTATTGTTATGTAAATTATTGTTATCTTTTGAAAAAAAAAACTAGTGTCTTATTGAATATGAGATGTAGGCTTACAAACATCACTGTTTTTATTTCTACACGAGTAGAATTCTCAATGACTAATCCAGTAATTGCGAATTTAAAGCGTACAAGTATGTGCGTTTCTTTCGTAAATTATTTTACACTTGCTCATGATGAATATAATTGTCTGTATATATGGACTTCATAAACATACAGGTTGTAATGTATTTTACAATCAATAAGAACATTCATAATGATAGGCCTACTTCGTGTTCAAGATCCCTGTGTAGTTGATTGACAAGCGACAATCGTTCATTTGCTATCATTCGTGTCTGATTCCCTTGCAGTTGCTGTAATGTTTTGTGTGTGTGTTTGTTTTGTTTTACGGGGCGAATGTACGTAAGACTAGATGATAGCATTTTCATTGAAGAGAAAACATATTGATAATTAATATCACTGATTAAAAAAACAAATAAAATAAAATGAATAGTCCTTATGCGTCTACCTCTCTCACTCTCTCCCACCTTTCTCTCTTTATAAAAAATATATGTATATCTCATTCTCTCGTTTTCTTTATCTGTTTCTGTATCTCTCTCTGTCTAACGCCTCTTCTCTCTCCATAGTTAAAATCTATTCGTTGGGCTTTAAACTTACTGTTACATTCGTAGGGTCTCATCCATCATTTGATAAGTTTTGTTTCTTGTCTAAATACATTTTTAAGACGCTCTTCTTCCATTGCCTTATGTCACCATGCAAGTATTAAAATCATTTCAAGTCAAGGTCAAAAATAGCCAGCGTTAATGGATAAAAAGCATGAGAGAGAAATTGCGAGAGAGAGAGAGAGAGAGAGAGAGAGAGAGAGAGAGAGAGAGAAGGGGAGATATCATTATCATTATTATATTTTAAATCATAAGTTGTAGTAATAGTGGCATTTGTTTATCAACTATAACGGCCATTGTCAATATAAAAACACACGGGGGGGGGGGGGGGGATAACCTAATCCGAGAAAACCTGCTTCCAGTATCATCATTATACAAACTTACGGGAAGGAAATAGACTAAAAAAGAAAAATAGATGGATAAACAAACAAACAAACAAACTTAAAAGATCTATTCAAGCAAAAGCATCAAAAAAATATATATGTACAATATATATGTAAAAATTTATTCAAAAGCCGCCGAACGTTTTAATGCTATTGATGTTGATTTTATCGTTAGAGTTGCCTTCCTCATCATTATGTTAATAACAATACTAATGGCAATTAAGGCTTTTTTCCCGACAATGAAGGAAAGGTGTGAACAGCTGATCTACGTAAGACCAAATGCATAACATAAAAACCTTACGACAACATTGGAAATATGAGATGCTTCAATGAACATGTCCGTGCATCACTGTTTGTGAACAATTAAACTCCCTAATGAACTTTTTCTGTCAACGAAGTCTCTGTAGTGTAATGGTTAGCACTCCGGTCTTCAAAACCGGAAGACCGAGTTCGATTCCTGGCTGAGACGATATAATTTTTTTTTTTTTCTTTTCGTGTTTGTTTCCTACACACATAGAAAAAGCTTCCAACGTGTAATGCAAGTTCCAAAACAAGAATAAATATATAAATTTAAATGAAACGGAACCAGGATCAACTGCCGGAATCGGGATCCGTGGAACAGCGATCGCCTGCAGTGCAACACGATGACTTGCAATTGTTTAAAGGCACAGGAAAATATACAATCTAATTGATGAGTAAAAAAATATTGTCTCCGACATTCATCTCCTCAGGATGTTCTCCTAGACTCTGCAGATCCTTTAATGACTCAGTGATATTCAGAGCTTCGGTGTAATGGCTGTTGTTTTATGTTATGTCAGTTTTCGTTATGAAGAGAGAGAGAGAGAGAGTTTCTTTTCTCGCTCGGTCCTTTTCCTCCCTAAATTCCTCTCCTTCTCTCCTCCCCCCCTCTCCCTCTCTCTCCCTCCCCCCCTCCCTCCCTCTCTCCTCCTCCCCCTCTCCCTCCCTCTCTCCTCCCCCCTTTTCTCGTCTCACTCTTTCATTAGCAGCTACGGTATATTATTACTGGCAGCAGTAGTACTATCATCATAATCAATATCATGTCATCACTTTTATCACCAAATATTGTAATTAACACTTGTTTATTATCATACATTTGTAGCTACAGAACAATTCACCATTTAGTAAGAATTTGATAAAGGTGAGAGAAGGAGGATGCAGCGCCAGCTGGTGAAGGCTCGGGGGCCATTTGTTACTTACCGAAGGAAAAACTGCGGTCAAGCAAGGAGAAAACGGCTTGATTGAAGGTTGACACCACTTAAAATAGTACCAGGCAATCATTCCATACCATTACCGATGCGGAGATATCCTGAACAAATGTAAGATTCCAGTATTGCTTTTCCGCATCTACCATGAGGGTAATTTAGAGACAGTCCTTTTTATTTTCCATTTTCCTATTAATTTCAACTCATGGTAGACATAGATAATTTTAAGAATGTACATCCATATTGTCCAAAGATAGTAATATGCATTATTTAAGAACTATATTTTTAAAAGCATACTAAATAGATTGCATAGACTGCATTGAGAGAGAAGAGAGAGAGAGAAGAGAGAGAGAGAGAGAGAGAGAGAGAGAGAGAGAGAGAGAGAGAGAGAGAGAGAGAGAGAGAGAGGCGGAGAGGGAGGGAATAATGAGGGAATATTTATGGTGTTAATAATAATAATAATAATAATAATAGTAATAATAATGACAGCAATGATAGAAATCAAAACTAATAACTATGATAATTGAATAATTAATGTTTATAATGATATAGTAATAAGGAAACAGATATTTACTGATCAATGATGCTAATATTAATGATATAAACAAAAATATGATCATACTGGATGATGAATAATGATAATAATTAATTCACGATAATGATAGAACTAATAGTATAATAGCAATGGTAATAGTAATAATAATAATCATGATAATCATAATCATAATAAATATCACTAATATTTTCTGTTTTGTTAGCGCAGAGAGAGAGGGGAGAGCAGGAAGAGGGAAGAGAATGATAATGATTATGATGATGGTATTAATAATAATAATATAAAATGATAATGATAATAATAACAATGATGATAATTATCCCAATGATAACCACTGAAAAATGATACTAATAGTAATGAAGTTAATAACAAAAATCATGAATAATAATTATGATGATGATAATAAAAGTAATAAGGATAATGATGAATAATAATAATAAGTAATGGTATAATAGTATGATGATAACAATAATGATCATAATGATAACAATAATAATAATAATAATAATAATAATAATATAACAAATGATAGTAATGGCTAGTCTTCTTATTCATAATAATGATAATTATAATAAACACTAATAATGATAATCCATAATGATAATCATTTTCTACTTTTACCAGTTCAAGGTCCGCTGGCCGTCTTCGCAATTCTCACCCCGGGAGAGGCGGCTGACGAGCCATCGAGTGGCAGACTCTGTTCTCCGCTCGCTCCGAGGATTTCCTCCCCAAAAAAAACAAACTATTTCTGTAAAATCAAAACGATGGACACATACATACCAGGGCGGCTTCTTTCTCTACTCATTATTATTGTTATTATATATCATATCGTACATTTTATACTTTCTTATTTGGCTTGTTTTTCCTCTACTTTTTTATTATTTTAATCATTCTTATATCATATCATTGGGATCATTATCATCATTGGTTATATTATCATTATATTATTAAATTATTATCATTATTAATTAAATATTATTATTTATTATTATTATTATTATTATCATTATTATTATCCATTAGTTAACATATTTTATCTGTACATTTTTTATACTTTCTTTCGTTTGTTGAAGTTTTCCNTTGTTTCTCGTTTCTTCGCTCTACTTTCTGTTTGCTATAGCTATTTGTTTCGCATTTTTTCTGTCGCATATTTCTCGCACATTTTGACGCATATTTTACTTTCACTTTTTCTCATTTTCCTTCGTTCTAATGACGGTCGATTCTCTTTTGTTGCATATTTGACGCATTTTCTACTTTCGCTTTTTCTCATCTTCCCGCATACTTTATCTTTTGGTTTATTACTCTTCTACAATTTTCTGTTTCTTCGCTTATTTTGGTTGCCATATCTGTTCGAATATTGATTTACTCAAGATATACACATACATTAATGGACACGGAATTTCACAGACATATTAATGTACACACACAATTACACGATTCATTGGGATATACGTATATTTCACTTAGGAGAGATGTGGCTTGTTTGGACGTTTGTTGCACACGGCCCGCACGCACACACAAGTCCAAAGAAATACATACACACACATAAATATATAAGCCACTCTTTATATCTTTCTCTTCCTCTCTACGTCTCTCAATCTTTCTCATTCCATCTCTTCCCCCTTCTGTTTGTCTGTTTTTCTTACTCTGACTGCATGTCTGTCTCTTCCTTTCCATGTCTTCATCTTTTTCTCGGCCTCTGTATGTCTATCTCTTCCTTTCCATGTCTCTATCTCTCGTTCGTTCTCTTTCGTTGATCCGCATTTAATGTGCGTGTGTATGTGTATGTATGTGTGCGTGTCATTCATTGTATTGTTTACCTGTTCTCAGGTGTACACGATTAGGGGGAGGTGGGGGGGGGGGATTCGGTCAAAAGAGTGCTCTTTGTACGCTTGTGAAAGTGTAGAAAATGTTGAAGATGAAACCATGATAGAGAAACAAGAAGGAAAAGAGAAAAGGAGAACGAATTACGGGTAAATGAATCGATTCTGATAGATAAGTAGATATGGATTGGTTGGGGAATAATAGAGAAGAAAAAACAATAACTGCAACTAATGAATATATATATATATATATATATATATATATATATATATATATATATATATATATGTGTGTGTGTGTGTGTGTGTGTGTGTGTGTGTGTGTGTGTGTGCGTGTGTGTGTGTGTGTGTGTTATTTATATTTTTATTATTATCACTATTACTGTTATTACTATTATCATTATCATTATTATCATTACAGTTATTAGTATTGATATTATCATCATTTCTATCGTTATAAATATTTTCATTTATCATTACGATTATTCCTATTTTCATTATTATCATTAGCATCAATGTTGTTGTTAATATAATCATTATAATTATTATCATTTCTACTTTTATTTTTTGAAGCCTTGCTCATAGCACAAGGAAAATAACACGAAAAAAGTAAGAAAGTAAGTCTTGAAGATATCCTCCGCCGGGAATCGAACCCGGGTCTTCGGATTCAGGGACCGTCGCGCTAACCGTTACTCCACAGAGAACCTCTCTCTGTCGGTGAAGGATTAATTTTATTCACAAACATTGATGATGCACAGACAAGTTGAATAGGCGTCTCCTAATGTTTCAAATATTGTTGAATTTCTTTTTATTCTATAGATTAAAGTAACATGAATTATTTCCCTCTTCTCGTTTCATTATCATTATTATTATCATTGTTATTCTATAATTATTTTCATTTATAAGATCATTATGAAAATTGTTGTTGTTATTAATCTTAACATCACCATCATCCTTATCAGGTTATTATAATCTATACTTTTTATTATTATGAATATTACTATCATTATTATTTTCATTATCACTGTCATTGTCATTTTTATTGTTTTTTTCATTAATCATTATTATTATTGCTATTGTTGTTGTTATTCCTCTTATTATCATTGTCATCCTTATCGTTATTGTTAATATCATAATCATCTCTGTCTCGCATGTATTTCAACATCAAATATCTGTTTTTTTCTGTAGTTTTCCATTTTACGAATGTTTGTGTTATTGTGATCTTATCCTTATCTTTATCATTATATTTATCATCATAATCCTAATTACCGTCATTAAAATTTCGCGAGAGAAAGAAGCGTCATTAAAAAAAAAAAAAAAAAAAAAGGGGAAGCGCTAAGCCGGGATTCGAACCCGAGTCTACGAATTCACAGACCGTCATGCTAACCACTACACCACAGGGTCTTCCCTGGTGATTAACGTTAAGTAATGAAATACTATCTTATTCTTTCTTCTTTTGTACCTAATTTGTTGGCATATACATCGAAAAACAGATAGATGGATAGACAGATAAATAGAGGGATGGGTAGAGATAGATGGAGAGAGAGCGAGGAAGGAAGAGATTTTGATTTAAGTTGAAAATGAACACAAAAGGATCTAACTGGCAACTTCTTATTATAAACATCATTTTCTATCATGAACCTGTCTGTCCGAGTTGTGAAATAGAGACAGATAGCTATTTCAAATGAAAGCAATGGTGATGCTTCTCACAACTCAGATAATCGCTAATACTGTCATCTCAATTGCTGGTGTTGATAGAGTCCCATTTACCCCTATTCCCATTCTACAAGGGTTATTACTGATCTTTATTATCAGTGTGTTTTTTTGCCTCGTTTCTCTGATCGCCTTACCACTGTTGATGCGATTATTG